GAGTAGAGACATGGTGCCGGATAGGATTGCACGAGGGAGATACCGTCGTTCCGTGAGCGTGTGACTTCGGTCCGACCCTATGACGCACGAGTTGGCCAGCTCGCGTCAAGGGATTGCTCTCGGGATCAGTAGGCCAGCGATGATGGCGACATGGGATCAACCTCTCTTTCGACATGAGGGTAGGAGGAGATACGGCAGAGGGCGGTTCTCTTCTAGGCATGTTGACGTCGTTAGGGATATAGGCGGGTCTAGTGGAGGCCTGTCGTGGGGATCTATTAGCTCATCAGTCCGGCTGGGCTACACAACGTCTGAGAGAGTAACCTTCCATCTCTTTGTTGATTAGTAAGGTTAATGGAGGTTTGAAAAAGAAGCGCCGGGAAGTTATGGAGAAGGCTTATCTTTCGGAGATGAAGAGTGAGCTTAATATTCCTAAGAGAAAGATGGTGGTGGAGAGTTCTGATGGAGGAGAAAGGTGGGATAGTGAATTTGAAAGCAGACCTCCACATGTAAAGGCGGCAACCGGAGTAGGAATCTTTGAGGGCGAGACTTGGCGAAAAGGACGATGTGAGCCACCATGCAGACCAAGTCCATATGCTATGGCGTGCGGACCATTGTGCAGTCCTTTGTTTTACCAACCCCCGTATTTCGGTCAGTCTCTATGTTTCACGGGACATCGGGTAACAGAGTTTCTGAATGACTGGGAAGTCTATGCCTTGAGAGCGGAATGGACTGATCAGGAAGCGATAAAGGGATTCATTAATCATACCGATCTCAAACTAGACAAAGACGTGCGTGCTGCTATTCCCGAGGATTGGAAGTAGGCAACGTTCAGAAAACGATTGTCTCGAACCTTTGCTTGCGACAATATCTCGTACCCGATCGAGGACTTAAAGGAGATGAAGAAGGAGGAAGGAGAGACGTTAGTGGAGTTTGCGAGACGCTTTGAGACGGCATCTGAACCATTGATAGAAAATGGGTTTCTCAGTGAGATAGAACGATGCGGTATATTCATGGGGACTCTACCTATCAAAAGAAGAGAGTTTGTTATGGAGAACATGCCCACTAAAGGGGTGTCGTTC